TAAAAAAAAAAAAAAAAAAAAAAAAAACCACCAATAGTTTACTTTGGCATTTGGCATACAGGTACTGGTCATCTTTCTAGTTTGGTGAGTCATAAACAACTTGAATCCAACTGATCCTTTATATTTCAGAAAAAATTTTGCTTTTCCTCCTTAAAAAAAAACCCCAAAAAACCCTCTAGCCTCTGGATGGCATTTGCAGTTATTTCAGCAGATTATTCAGATTTTAGTTAAGGATGACTGCAACCCACACTGAACAAACTGTTAGACTAGTAACTAAGTGCTATGTCTTTTTGCAGGGTTCTCATGGCAGTGAACTAGTGGTCTATTTTTGTTAAGTGAGAAACTTTGGGTGTAGTACCTGACCTCTGGGGCCCAACTTTCCTCATGAAAAGAATTTCCTTATCCTGATTATATGTGTCAGAGAAAAGGCGACTTAAGAGGATTTCAGAAATGTGTTATATTATATAGTATACTTCTGAAGAAATGAGTTCTAGTGTTTTCAAATTATAATTTTAAAGTATTACAAAAATAATATTAAGTCTCAGATCAATGAAAGCCAAGTATAACTGAAGTGTAAGCTTAATGAATAAGGAAAAGAAGTGAGGTATTTTGACAGACACTGATTTCTAAAGAACAGGTGCACACAGTGGCTAAAAATAGTGTTATGTCATCAGCATTAGAGAAAATGTAGTCAGAAAAAACCCCTAAGGTTTCTTTTCTAAAATCAGACCTTGAGTAACGTACAGGGATATGGGGGTGATTTAAATGTATAAAACCAAGTCAGTGGATGTCCCGTAAAAATCATGATAGTAGTAACATTCTCTCATACAAACACAGACATACAGACCCTTTCTTTTTTTTATAACACATCTTTTTAAGCCCAACCTTTTGCAAACTCTAAGATAAAGAAGGTAGTAGTTATAGGATGGATGTCATTGAGTAGATAAAGCCAACTCTAAAGTCCATACTTCTAAGGTTCCATGGTTACTTGTGAATCATGACAATACTTGCTTTTGGTTTGTCCTCTCAATGCTTTTCATAAGCAGGTTCATGTACAGGTATAATTGCACTGAATTTTTTTACTAATTGTATGTCATAATACTGATGTCACTTCTGAAAAGCATTGTAAAAAATTGAGGGTTAGTATCACAAATTCTGGAGTCAGATAGACAAAATTCTATCTCTGCCAATTACTAGCTATTAGTCTTTTCTCATGCTGTTCACTCATCTGTAAAAACCAGTCTTCTGAATTGGTGCATATATTGGTGCATAGAAATAAACCGAGTAATTCACTAATTTGTTCTTTTAAAAAAATCATTAAATAGGGCATTGTGCTTCTCTTTGTACAGATGGAAAGTTGAGGCTAAGAAATGATAAATTTCATCAAAAAATTTTTTGGGGGGGTACTGGGGATCAAACTTGGGTCCTTGTGTTTGCAAGGCAGGAGGCGGAACCACTGAGCTAAATCCCCAGCCCTAAGAAGTGATACATTGGCAGTAGACAAGTTCCATGTCCTCTCATATCTTCTACAGTGTGCTTTTCATCAGATTATACTGTTTCTATGATAAAGTTGTGAATAAGTCTGGATGAATGTTAAACCTGTTTTGCTTTACTGGCTTCATACAGGGATCTGCAGTCATTTTTGTTATGTACCCTGCTTTTTCCTCCACAGGTAATTAAGCTCTGATGGTCACAGCCCTATACTTAGAGAGTGTAACTGGTCCGCTTTGTATCTGGCTAGGCCCCATGACTGATGTCCTCCCTTTGAGTTACATCTGAATTTGTTAGCAGACCTGTTTTTTATTGTGCTCTTACATCTTCTTGGGACTTTGTACCAAGATCAAAATTTCCCTCCCTTATGCCAACTCTTGCTTTCTTGGACACGGTAGTATGCCATAAAACACACAGCCTTCAAGCCAAAGCCAGCATCCAGAAGGCTGGGAAGTCAGTCTACTTCACTGTTACTTAATGTTCTGGAGATGTTAGCCAGTGAATCAGACAAGAAAGAAAGAACATACAAAATTTTATTTACAGATAGGGTTGTATGAGGCTGTTTTCAAATATGACAAACAGCTTTGAAAGTTAGGTATAAAAGGGAATAGATTTAGCTCAGTAGGAAGATAAAAAAGCTATGAAAGATTTCTTGGTTGGGAATTATATCAGTTTCACATTGATATAGATGTTAGCTTTGATTCATTTAGAAAAAATACTGTTACTGTCAAGTAAATAGGGGAGAAAGATGACTTAGCTGTTTATCAGATATTAAAATGTATTATAATACTAAACATTAAAAAAAGTTGATACTAGTGTAGGCATCAGTGCCAAACAGAATTGTGAAAAACTAGACCTTACAAAAGGGACTAGATATCCAGTGAAAGCCACTTTTCAAATAATTGGAGAAAATGTGAGTTACTTTACAAACAGGGATGAGATAACTTAATGACCATTTAGAAAAAGAAGTTGGATTTCTTTTGCATTCCTTAGATTAACTATGAAAGTACTATAGTAAAACTGAGAGTATATTTCTGTTCTTGGAGCAAAAAAAACTCTTAAGTGTGATACATGATGAATATATTTGTCTACAGATTAAACATTTATATGCCAAATTACAGCAAAATACCATAAAACTATAAGTCTGATAGACCAAAAGATATTTGCAATGAAGAAGAGGAACTTCCATGGTGTATAAAGAAACACAAACCTAGCAGAAAAATGGTGAAAGGATATACATGAAAAGGTACTCTTTGTTTTTCTCATGAGGCAAGTAGAATTTTCAAATTGGTGAATATAAAGTGTACTGAATGGTATGTATGGAGAAGATAGGCACTCGTTATCATTTTATGAGGAAGAATAAATTGATTAAACATTTCTGTAGGCATTTGGCAATATCTAACAAAATAATCATATGTATCAGTTGATCTAGCAGATTGGTTCACAAGAATTTCTCCTGTATGTGCATACTAAGAACAGTCATCGTGGCATTGTAATGGTTTAAATGAAGTTTGAATGTTCACATAAATGGAATGCTATGAAGCCAGTGGAGATATTTTGTCCCGGGATGAAACACAGTGTAAGACAGGACAGTGTGAAGTGCACCAGGAGGCTGCATAATGGTAACATGTGCAAGAAACTGATGAGTTGTCACTGCATGACGATGGACTGAGAGATGGGGGCCAGAAGCCCAGAAGCATGGTTCTTTCTTAACATAGACGCTTATGTGTTTCTTACTTTGGGGATAATGCTGTTTAAGTCATGTGCTCATGTTACCTATTTAGCATATTTTTTGAATAAAAATTTCTGGTTTATTTCTGTTTTTTGAATATGACAGTTTTGGATAAAGTCATCCCAGTATGTTCTTTTCCTAAGAGATCTACTATTGCAAAGTTTTTGAAGTTCGTTTTTGACCTTAGGCTTTTAACCTTAGGTGTATGCCTGTCAGTAAAAAGACTATGTTTCTGTAGTATTGACATTTTTCATCTTTAGAAATATTTATCGCTTATTTTATGATACTGTATTCTGTTCATTTGTAAATTGATGATTATACTTGGTATGAACTTATTTTTAGTTCTCAAATCATAATGATGCTTTCACTTGGGTAACTCTTTGCTTTGCAAGGGTTAGTCTTGTTTAGTTAAAAGAAAAAACAATTAACCTGGCTTAGAGAAACTAACAACTGTGTTTATTTTGATCTGGACAGATTTGGAGGCCAATCACTGCCACCTTTTATTTCCCTGTGGGTCCAGGAACTGGATTTCTTTATTTGGTCAATTTATATTTCTTATATCAGTATTCTACACGACTTGAAGCAGGTATGTCTTTGATAGAAGCAGGTATGTCTTTGATAGTTGTTTTAAGTACTGTTTCTTTCTAATTTACTAATCCATGTGTTTACTTCCATGGAGGAATTTTAAGGGTAGTCAGTAGTAGTTCATGAAAAATGGCCTGATGATAGTGTAACTGCCCAGTAACTGTGCTAAGACCACCAGTAATCTAAGGCACTTAGACTGTTTGACTGTAATAGAACATCATGAAGTTTAAAGTATCTGTCACCATTTTACAGGTGAAAGAAAAGGGCATATGAGAAGTTTGCATACTTTGCCCAATTCCTCAGTGGCTGAGCTACACACTTCTCATTTTATGTGGCCATTTTATTTATTTTTTGTCATAGAGCAGTCTTTGTCCTTTGATGCAGCATTGGACTGGAGGGTATGTATTTCTCAGGTTTAGTTTGAAAATGTTACTCTGTGCAAATAAAAGCCCAGACTTATTTTCTATAATTGAAACATTCAACTTTAAAATGCATAGTCAGGGCCCAGGGATTTAGCTCAGTGGTTCTGCTGCCTGCCTTGCAAGTGCAAGGACCTGAGTTTG